AAGCGGTATTAAGCGAAGTGAACGCCAGAGAGATCCGATTACGTTAATCCTTTATGGTCCGATCGGTATTCAACGTTTTATCTGAAATGGTTTATGATTAATAAGATATCTACTATTTTAAACTGATTTAAACGACGTAGTTGTCATTTTTTTTATTGGAATTCGGATTAATTAGTGTTATGAAAGTTAAATCTTTGTAATCTCTCTTACAGTTCTTTGCTAAGTTAACATGTAATTGATCATTTTAAAGTAATTATTAATGTCTCGAACTATTTTAAAAGCATTAAATATTATTCTTGTCAATTCGTATAATCAATTATTTATTTCAAGTTATAATATCACTATAAATAATTGAAAAAATAAAACTTTTAAAATGATCATTACAAAAAATTAACATTATACGTGTTTTCTACAAAAACGATTAAATATCTTTAAAAAAATAAAGAAAATTTGACAAAGTATTTGGAACAAAACTTACAAAGTACAAAGAGTTTCTATTCTCTTCTTTTATAAAACCCCTGTCGTATTCGATATCATTATTTTAAATTCAACTTCATGAAAAATCACATTACTTACGGGACGATGTAATTCATTATATAAAATCACACTGTATGACGCTAAATTATAATCATTCACAACGTGGATCCAACGTAGAATTATCCCTAAAACACACGAACGCGAAATTATTAAAGATTTCCATTTCGAGCGAGTGACAACCCCATCTCGTTCACTCTCGGTGATTATTCTCTTCGTGGTGAATAAAATATCGCTCGAAGGAGCCCAAGGTTCCATCATGATGGAATTTCAGCCATTCGTTTTGTCTAGGAACGTGATTCTTCTTCTTCTTTATTTAAAAGGAGCCAACGCTTCGAAGGAGGCGTCGACATAATCGAGCTTAAAACCGCAAGTCGACGTTAAGCGATCCGAATACCTGCCACGCCAGCTACTTTCCATCCAGATAATCCGGTAATTTGAAAATTTAGAATGGAATGTAACTCCCGGGAAACTATTTGAAGTCTCGTCTGTGGCCGAGGATCCCTTTTCTTTTCGGACTTTATTGTCAGCCATGGAACATAGTGAAAAGGTGATGAATTAGAATGAAAAGAATTAGTGGAAATTGACTTAATTAATTTTAAATTTTAAACAGGATTTCGTTACTTTGAAAGGATTTGATGACCGTGCAAAGATATTAGAGAATTTTAAGAGGGAAACTATCTTTTCTCAAATTAAAGATTTCCAAAAGTTTAAAATTTGTGGAATTTGGGATTCTTAAAAAGATTCTAATTCACGATTTAAAATGTGTGAAATTTAGAGTATTGTAAAATATCGATCAAATTGTGAAATTTAGGAAATGGAAATGATAATAATTTCGAAGAATATAAAAAAAAGAAATACAAAAAGGGAGGAAACAATGAATTAGGAAACTATAAATTGAGAATTACTGATTAATTTGGAGCAAATTGAACATTTTTTCTAGAAATTTTCCTGTTTTATGTTTATGAAAATCTGTCTTTTAAAAATAATCTCATGGAAATCTGAATTATCTTATGATTAGATCTAAAAGATTACACGTACAAGGGTTTTAATGCGTGCACGCAAGCTCGATCGTTAGTTGCATCAACGACACAGGTAGCAGACCTTTTAATGTATTCGGCGCCTCGATTATTGACGTACACCTATCGTGTTGATATTCATGTTGTACCTTGCTATTGCTCATAATATCACGTCGATACTTTAAAACTTTGAACTATATTTATATAACTAATAAAATAATTTTCTAATATACTAATATTCATATATAATAATAAGTTAGTTATTTGTTTTAAATTATTTATTAAAATTTTAGAGTTTTTATTTTGCACTTTAATCGAATATTTGATTTCCTTTATTTTATTTCATCTATCTTAGAAAATATGAATATTTTTAATTAATTTATCGAAAGAATGCACACATGTACGTTGATCATTCTTATAGATTTCAATTTTTACAAAAATAGTAAAAAAATTAATATTTTTAAAAAAATTGTTCATTCTCAAATATTGAATAATCGAAATATCAAAATAAATACAAATAAAATAAATATCACATGAATGATTTCCTTTTGATCCAAGATAAAATTTTCATTCATGCTATTTTATTTTATTCATATTATACAACATTCAAAGTGCTGATTATTTTTTTTTTTTAATATGATCAAATTACTTCAAACTTTCCTATTCTTCTTCCAAATATATACTCTTCTTTTTTATTTATTTAATGCTTCAATCATCAATCGTGTCGTCGATGAGATTTTATCATTGTTATATTATTTCGAACGGATAAAACCAGATTGGTCAAAGCGATTTTTCCATAGATACATCTCTGTCTATTTCGAACATGAAAATTCAAGCTGAAAGCCGCGGCACTCGCAAGAATAAATCGCGAGCGACGTTTACTTTTAATTTCATTATACCGAAACGGACTTAGCGGTTTTAATAAAGAGTCCGTGAAAATTGCGACCCTTTGTTTTCACCGCGTAACGCGTACCATGGGCATTTCATTTCTTTTATTTCCGGTTGGGCATGCTGTTTTTTTCAACTCTCCACTCTTTGTCCCGATTTCTTACTTTTATTTGGATCATTAACTGTTTCGCGGTGGTTTGCTCATTTTGGCTCACTTGAAAAGAATAAACCACCGTAAAAGTCGATTTGTGAGTGCTGCACGTAGAAATATTAAATGAGAATATGGCAAAAGTTATGAGGAATAATGATAGATAAAAGATTATGTAAATGAATGTTAATAATCAGTTTTTCATAAATCATTAAATTATTTTAAAAATAAATACGATGCCTTGATTTTATCCAAGAAACATTATCATTCAATGACTTCGTTGATTTTGTGATATATAATTATATGTATATTTTGGAAAATATAAAGATAACTATCCTTTCTCTTAAATGTGAATTTGTGCGTATGATCTACACGATTATGATTTTTAGCCCGTTAATATAATATAATATAATTTCTGAAACGAATTAAGAAAATTTAAACATGAGAATATAAATATGAAAAATATTATCTTATGAAATATTATAAAATATTTTGTTTTATGTTAATTATTTTTGAATTAAATTAACATAATCATTTGTATAATAATATCGAGATAATGATATATATATATAGTGAAAAATAATTATTATTATGACTTGTATTATTATACGTAATATTTTTTAATCGAAAACTTCTAACGATGACTTGTTAAATTTTGTTAAAATATATTGTAATGATACTAAAAGCAATGAAATTGTATACAGCTTTTGACGAAAGGTTGTAGAAAGACGAGCAATTGACGCTGACA